GCTACGTAAATGTATCGATTAGTTTAAAGTCGTCCATGTTTCCGCATAGCGAGGTCGAGCGTCCAGAACATCGTCCGTCCGACCGTGGCTTGTCTTTTTTCGACCGTGGCATCGGTGGTTTACATATGACATGTCACTGTTGTTTATTCGCGGTGTTTATCATGGGATTTTCATTTAGACAGAAACACTGGAAGTCCTCTCGGACCACCGAAAAAAACTTCCTGAAAACTACTACCCTTGCGACGGAAAAAAATTCATGCATTAATTATTGGTAGAACGTAGAAGGGTTCGCAGCTCTGACATCGTAAGAGTCTGTTAAGAGCGAAAGAGAAGGCATACAGAACGAGCCGCATGAATGAGTGCAAACAAGTTTGAGAGGAGATTGACAAGCTGGTGAAACTTTTGAAGAAGCAGTTTGAGATACCCTGACCGGTCGAGAAAAATGGCAGGCAATCAATAAAATTTGCAAAGCGCTACCCTTCAGACCTAGATTCCAATGAAATGAATAATATCGTCTTGCGATTGGAAAAGTCAAGTACCCGGATTGCTGTGGTTACTATTAGCGTTACTGTAGTGCTAGTGGAAACCTCTTTCGAAATCAAATTGACGTCCGCAGCTGCCTTGCAAGAGTTAGACTCATAATGGTGATAAGACCGGCGTACCTTTCACCGATCGCCTTAAAATTGTTATTTAGAGTTGAGTAAGGAATTAAACAGTGCGCAGCCACGATTCGGGATGTCAGAGCAAGACGAGGAACTATCTTACATTTCAAGGTAGTGGAACCACGAAGTTGTGGGGTCGGTGAAACTTGGCTGAAGTGTCCCCTAGTGAATAACGAAATTAGCCTTAATTGGTTCGTGACTGAGAGAGGATTGTGTGCAGGCGTACATTTGAAAAATACTAAGCTGTAAGCAGCAATACCCTAGGCGGCGATGAAGAACCTGCAGACACAAATGAAACTTATGAAATTCCAGAGAGCTTGTCAGCGGAAGTTTAACGTGCTGTGTAAAACAGGCGAAGCAGACGGTATTATTGTATAACTTGTGGAATCTGAAAGTGAAGCATTCATCAGGGTGTTACCGCGCACGTTTTTTTGCTGTTTGAAGGAACAGGCGATTAGACTACTGCGTCGATGGTTCTACTAAGAAGAAAGCAGAGTGTATCCAAAGAATTAGAGACGATCAGTTTGTTGCCAATCGTCTACTATATTTTCACGAAGGTACTGATGAATAGACTTGAAGAGAAACTGGGCATCGCATGGTCGAAGGAGCTAGCAGGATCAGAAGTGGATTTAGTATGACGGATCGTCTCCAGTGGTCCAACAACAAATTCAGACAAGCAGCGAATATTAGTTTCCTCTCTCAGTTTCATCGATTTTGAGAAGGATTTTCGATTCAGGCTACAACCTTTTTTGTACTGAATTCCTTGAGGAGCCAGATAATCGAGAAAGATGCAGAAACCTCATCTCTTGATTTGCGAGAATGTAATTCCTGGTGTGAGGCTTCATTAAAGCACAGAAAGGCTAAAATCGAAAAGGGCGTCAGACAGAGTGACGCAGTATCCCAAAATTAATTCATCGTTACTAGAGTTTCTCACGAAACTCCATTGGGAAAATCAGAAAGTGAACACAAATAGGCGCTTCTTAAGCTATTTGCGGGATGCGGACGAAATTCCTTTCCTCTCAAGGTCACCAGAAGAAGAGCTCAAGAACTGAATGACGCCAGTGTGAAAGCAGCTCTGAAAATGAACCTGACTCGACGCCGGTCATATTTTACACGTACATGACCCAGTAGCCTGATGAAGTCAATGGATTTAGGCTCGAATAGGGGGAAAGCTGTCCCGTATGTCTGGGGCAGCTGATGTTTGAAACGGGGAACAGACTCTGCGAAATCAGCAGGAGAGTAAAAATAGCATGGAACACTGTACTGACTTTTGGAAGACTGAAAACGTGCTTATTAAGAAAACTTGTTTTGTGTATGAGAAAAAAAGTTTTCGATCCGCGTGTGCTTCCAGTATTAAACTATGCAGGGAGGAAAAGTGGGTCCTAAGCTTGAACGCTATTCATAAAGTGCGGACTACGCAGCGCAGCATGAAAAGATGTATGTTTGCAAGAGTCAGTGATGTCATTCTCTGACGGTAAAGTGGCAATGGATGGAACTCGTTGCAAGTAGAGCAGATCATCGCCTATGCAAAGAGACATTAGACTAGGTTCTAAGGCATAGAGAGAGAAAACGGCCCTTAGTCATACGAAGAACTCCAGATCATTGGCAGGATTTTGCTGAAGGATTTTACTGGACCAGGATGGATAAGGATTGCAAAAAACAAGTTGATGGCAAAGTCTTGAAAAGACCTTCATCGTAGTAAATCGGAAAAGGCTGATGATGATAGTAGATTTGAAAAATTTAAGCTATGGCAAAAAAGTAACAAAAAGTGTGCAACAAGCGATTGCAAGATCGGTTGATTATATCTCTTGTTACGAAGTAGCGGCAGCCATGCTGATTCAGATCTCTTTTTCTTTGATTCTCTTCGTCTTGCTACATGTTCGATCAGCTGCGCTTTCTTCTAGCGAGGGTTTCTGTTTATCCGATAAGGATTCAACTAGTAGAATAAAATTACATAGGTCCAAAAGACAGCATCAGCTAATGAATGCACGACATAACAGTATTCGTGTGTGTTCTGCTTTCGCTGTCGTCAGCGGATGATCAAATCGTTCGGTTCTCCTCAGATCTTGCGGTCTGTGCATTTTTGATCATCAGTGGTTTTAACGTAATTCGTTATTCGTTCTTCGGCTGTTGTTCTCTAGGGTAAACCGAGCTTGTACGCTTTCGGAAAGCGTCGCAGTTTTATTGAACCTCAGTTCCCTACTCTTGAATTCGTTTCAGTTTTCGCGTTGTTAGACTTTTGTAGCCGTACAAGACCGAAATTCTGGCTGCCGTTTGTTTTCGTTTGGCGAATATTTCCTGTCGCTGAGGTTGCAATGCAATATGTACTGTCCGCGTCCGTGTGTCATTATTAATTAGCATATCTTTGTATGACAGGGTTGGTGAAGGTTCTTTGGCATGAATGACTAGTAATTGATTGTATACCTGAACAACTTGCCTAGAGCCTTCGGAAATAATAAAAATATGAAGCTTTGCGTGAAATGGCGCGAAGTAAGGACGAAGGCGAAAAGTTCGCTAATTCGCTAGTTCGAATTTTTAAATCAGTATCGCATGTGCATTGTGAAAGTTCTTCTACTTTTAGTATACGCCGCACACTGGCTGTGAAATGGCAAGTCAGTGGTCGCAACACCCAAAAAACCCGTCTCAATGACACCCTGAAACGGCGGTGTTCCAGGCTAGTGGTAAATGCTGCCATCGAACTGCGTCGCCGTCACGGTGGTCAGCGCGAAAAACCTCACCTCTCACAGCCAGAGCGGTAAGCGTCTTCGGGCCTTCATCGGTTCATGCTCTTTACCCTTCTAATGACTGTTATGTACACATGCCTTTTAGGCAAACCTGACGTCTTTGCCACTGTACAGTTGAATGGCCAAAAGTTTCAGACGTCGGTTCAGCTAAAAACAAGTCTTCCTGTTTGGCAAGAAAGATTTACACTGTAAGTACTATTGCCGTGGAAACATTTTCCGCTAATGTCAGACAGCGAAGAGTAATCTTCAAAATGATGACCACATCTGAAATGACAGCAGGAAAACTGTTTTATTGTACACAACGCAATATGGAAGTCTACCCTGTGGCACATCAACATAAAGTTCAAAAGTGACCTCTCGTTAAGCGCAGGTTTATCGTAGTCTGCAAAGGAAGATCCGCTAGGCTTCTTCAGATGCAGGGAATGCTCTGTTGAAACTGGGCGAATCCGATGATATGACGAGACCCTGAATGAGGTGTTTAATTGTTGGACACGATCCTACACAGTTCATGGTCTTGCCATGCCTCTGCATTCGTCCACTTTTTCTGTGCTTGTAAAGCTGGTGTAATAATACCGTGGATTCTTCGCCTGCTAAGTAATGTCACCTAGGATTCAACGAGCATGGAAAATGTGCGTGTGCGATTAATACTGGACTGATTCGGAGGAATGACGACAGTCGAAACTGAGTAGGATCGTATCCTGCCACTAATCGTACTTCGTTCAGCGTTTTCACTTCGTCGGATTCGCGCAGTGCGCTCCCGTTCTTGTAAAAGCCTAGAGGACAGTTATTGCACTAGAACGGACCAATGGTATTATTATGGTATTATTGCACATGCAGTTTATGGAGCAGGCGCCTGCTAGTGTCGTATAGAAAAAAATGGCACGGGGCTGTTACGCGCCATGTAGATCCCGGAAAGTGACATGTACAGTGTTTACTTCTCTTGGACTACTGTAGTCATCTACATACTTCCATCGAAAGCATAATTGATTTGTAATCTCTAGTAACCGTTTCCTACTTTGGTTGTACATAGGTACGAACGATTATGTTCGATGTTTACGCCGTTCGATTCAAGGAGTACAGGGCTCCCTGTCCAGAAATATAGTTTGTGATGAACATGAAACTAATCTAGTGAACATAATGACACGATGCTCCTTCAAACACTGTTGGTGCTCCTTTAATATGTAGTTATGACTTGGTTAAATGGACCCTAGGCTATTCGTAGCAGGGGGACACCGGTGCAGCACTCTTGGAAATGTGGCTTTTAATGAGCTGCGCATTTGCCTACTTCGATTCATGTATGTAAATTTTTGTTTTCAGCCTTGATGACAAAAGATGATCTTTAGCTTGTCTCTCACCTCTTCTCTTGCCGTATGTCGCGTTTTTCCATTTTGTTAGGTTTCTGAAAATGGTAATGCGCTAGCCAGTTGAATGATATTAAATCCATATATAAATGCAGGTGCCGAAATATCATGCATTATGATTTGTCTAAGTGATTCTCAAATCATGAAGGAGAAAAACAGCATAGGCATAGGCTGTGAATTCCGGATTGGTAAAATTATGGGATTATTAATGTGTAGTTTATTGCATATCCATGCCGCTTGATTCTGTTATTTTCTTGGAAGGCTGTGAAACTGGATTCATCAAGCTAAGATAGTCGGTAAGAGAATCCAGTGAGGTTAAAACTGTGGCAAATGCCGATCGTTCCAAGGATATTGTTTGGGCTTCTTGGCATCAAGGTATGTCTAGCGATGAGTGTTTTCATCTTAGAGTTTTTCGTTCTCGCTCTTTTCGCTGTTTTGCAGTACATTTGGTTTTAGTGAAATGAAGAGTAAGTACTCGATTTTGATAGTGTCGGTATATCGACGGACGTACCTGGCTTTCAGCGAGTTCCTCGGTCAGCTACGTCTGCCGATGGATGAGTTCTGCGATACTGAGCTGGGTGCCAAGCCGAGGGCGCGCTGGTACCCGCTCAAAGGCAAGAGCGGCGTTTGCGACGAACACAGGTACCGCGGAGAACTGGAGATCATGCTCGAGTTCTTCAACAAACCTGCTGAGCCGTCGACGAAAACGACGAAGGCCACTACGCACTCCAATCCATTTCTGAACGTCGACTTGCGCCGATCGGCGCTTCATAACTTAGGTATGAAAACTAGCACTGTTTCTCAGTCCGAGCTGACACCTAATCATCTGTTGTTTAGGGAAAGGACTGCACTTCAAAAGCTTAGCAAGGAAGGAAGCAGACATTATCCAGGTACAGTCATATGCTGTTATATTCAGAACCTGTGAGGGATATTTAAGGTTATAATGGAGATGAGTGTAATTTCATTGAAATAGTGCAGATGCAGAGACAGGCAGAGTTACGACGGGTAAGTAATGATGGAAAACGAAAGGGGTCAAGGAAAGAAGTTACCAATTTTTTTACAGATTCATTTTCAGTCATAGTTTTATACTGGCGTAGTTCAGGTTTTGAATTTTTTGGAGTTAATATGGTGATCTTGATAGGGTCGGAATATCGCTCGTAAATGTGTATCGAATAGAGATGCAAAGAAAGCAGATGTTTAAAGTCCTTTTCCTAAAATGTGATATTGAATCGAGTCGCGGTATTTTCATTTTCGAAGCTAAACCAAATTTTATTTCTTAAGTAGATTTAAGATAACAGAAACGTTATCACTGTTACTGTTCTCAGCTACGTACTGAATAGCTGACAATAAAATTGCCTGCAGTCTGCTTTATCTTGCCTTGATTTTAAATAAATCATGTAGTGCCACTGTTGCGTAATCTCTCCAGATTTTTCACCTATAATCTCTGACATATCATGTGCATTTTACATCTATTATTGTTGAATGTCCAAAACAGAGGGCGAACCGGGGTAAATTACCACAAGTAGCGTAAAAATGAAATTTTTTGGGATAATGACGACTCAGTCGACAAATAATATTGTGTAAAAAGCGCGTTCCTTGTTACGACAGTAATTTTCTTCTGGCAACATCGCGTCTGGCCAATGAAGTAGAGGGTTTAGGAAACGTCACGCCATGTTGAACTCGAAAAAATTTGGAAGCTAAGACGTTATAAAGTGGTTAAACCGATATTATTTGTCAGTTGTCTATTGCTAGCCTTAATCTTATTTTTGATACGTGTTTTTGCTTTGTTTAAGTCGATTTAAGTTTTCATTTGATTTATTTCAGTGGTTCTATTGTAAGTCTAAGATTTTCATTTATTAACCATAATTTAATTGTACGTTAGTTCGATTATTTGATTAATATATTTTCTCCTATCGAAAGCATGTTCTCGCAAATAAGTTTACAAACTCCTCATGGGTGGCACATCTCGCATATTTAGCTGATATTTTTGAGTATGTGAATTCATTGTACAAAGAATTGCAAGGAAAGAACATGAATATAATTTCAGCCAGAGAAAAGATTTCAGCGTTTGGATCAAAGCGTTTATATTGCAGACAGAAAGCAGAACAAAATAAGTTAGCTTTGGTTTTTGGAAGATTGTGAAAATATTTTTTTGATGACATCAAGGATACAATTATACAGCATCTTACCAAACTCAGAGAGCGGTTTTCTGATTACTTTCCAGATCTTGATTCACATACTGTCAGTTGGGTTGTAGATTCCTTTTAATATGAAATTGCTGATGTACCAGAAGAATCTCAAGGGTTGGCATAGGCACTTCTTGAACTTCGATTCAATAAAGAAGCACGTTTTGAATTTGAAAACAAAGCAGATTTGTCATATTTTTGGATGTTAAGAGCTGCAAAGGTTTTCAGAATTGCACATGAGGAGACAGACAAAAAGTTGCTGCCTTTTGCAACAAGTATTTTGCACACTAATGAACATACAAACAAAGCAGGAAAATCGATTGGAATTTGAAGACAGTATCCAAATTTCTCTGACGTCAAATGCCCCAATTTTGATGTTATTGCATCAAAAATGAAGCAACATCATTTCTCCAAAACCTGAAGTGAGAAATTTTCAAAGAAATCCTTTTTTTCATGATGAAGATATTAATTTTTTTTATCGCATTTATTTTATACTTTTCATATTTTTAATTGTGTTCTCCACATAAATAGATTCAGTGAACTTTTTGAACTTAAATAATCTATGATTTTCTCCCTTTCAAATCGAGGGGGTAACGTCGGCGCAAATTAATATATTTTGGGGTGTTAGGTAAAATAGTTCTCCGGCCCCTGGTCTAGAGCGAAGAATTGACGCAGTGTTTCTGCATAAGTTAGCTATGTTTTCATTAGTTAGAGCAGATACATGCATGATCTCATGGCATTTTTTACAACCATTATTTTATCATAAATTTCATGACATATCCAGAACCCAATGTATCGATATTATGAGCACGGGGCTGAATGATCTTTCCAGTTATGAATTATTCCTGCACTTTAGTATGAATTAGTTTATTCGGTTTTAAGTTTAAAAGAGAACATGAATTATTCTTTTTCTGTTTTTGATAAC